AATTTATCACGGCCGCCGCACATTATAGATTTTCGGGCGGCGGGTTCGACACCACAACCCTCGAGTCACCTGTCCTACCGCCTAACCAACCTAGCCACCTACTGAGATGAAAACCAGAGTCAAATATATGACTCTTAAGCCGCGTTGCGGTCCCCGCGAAAGGCGAACGCCGTTTGGAAGGCCGTCAAAGAGTGTCGTAGCGGGCGATCCGACCGCGTCGGGAAGCGGACTACCGGCTCCGCGGCCCTAGGACGTATAAAACGCGAGAATTGCAAAAAAAAATCGAACCTCGAGACGCATGTATTTATGCCTGTATATAGCGATACGTAATCGGTACCTACTCTCTTTTCCGCGACGCCACTCCTCGCCGGGACTCGTTTTTGAAAATGTAGGGCCACGCGTCGGTTATAAATTTAGCGGGGAACGCGAATAAGTCGTCGACGGGGAGGGTGATACGACCGAAAGGGGCTAAAACTCGAATTTTCGAAAAAAACGGCAAAAAGAGCAGTCATAATAGAGTCGTACTACTTAAATGCCAGAGTTTAATCAGTTCTTTTAGATCTATTAGTTTATTAATATCGTATTAAACAATATTTAACCAAATCGGAATCACTTAAAAACCGTAATATATCAAGAAGGTACTACAATATATGTCATATAGGTTAGTTATATTATATTGTATTTATAAAAGAAACATATAGGTGCGTTGGTCACGATAAAATCAAGTATTAATTAAATGCTAATATTATTATTATTATTTAATATATTAATTTATTATATATTTATATTTTTTTGCAAAATAAATATAGTTAAACGAATTATAATATATATAAATACCGATATATTTAATATAATAACGCGAATTTTGAAAAAAATCACAACACTTTCGTTAAAAATAATTAATGTGACGAAAAAAAAAAACGCGAAAAAAAAAATTCCATTCAACACGGCCGCCGCAATTTATCGATTTTCGGGCGGCGGGTTCGAAACCACAACCCTCGAGTCACCTGTCCTCACGCCTAACCAACCTAGCCACCTACTGAGATGAAAATCTGAGTCAAATGTATGACTCTTAAGCCGCGTCGCCGTGCTCGCGAAAAGCGAACGCCGTTTGGACGGCCGGCAAAGGGCGTTTGAGCGGGTGATCCGACCGCGTCGGCGAGCAGACGACCGGCTCCGCCGCCCTCGGACGTATAATACCCGAGCTCTGCGAAAAAAATCGAACCTCGAGACGCAGGTATTTATGCCTGTATATAGCGATACATGCACGGTACCTACTCTCGTTTAAGCGACGCCGGTCCTCCCCGGGACTCGTTTTTGAAAAATTAGGGCAGCGCGCCGGCTATAAATTTAGCGGGGAACGCGAATAACATCCGAACGGGGAGGTCGATACGTCCCAAAACGCCTAAAACTCGAATTTTCGAAAAAAAACGGCAAAAAACGCGGGCGACGGCGGCGCTCGGTTCGCACGTGATATCCGCCGCGGAGGGCCCGCAGAGAAAAAAGTACGGCGGACTTATAATAGTAAATTTAGCGAGGAATGCGAATAAGGTCCAAACGGGGCCGCCCGAGGACCCGAGGGGAGTAAAAGTCGAAAATTTTGAAAAAAAATCGTGAAAAGTGATAAGGAGGAGTGATAACGCAGCGACGGCTTTGCAAAAAACGACGCGACGCATGTATTTATGCCTGTATATAGCGATACATACACGGTACCTACTCTCGTTTCCGCTCACGTTTAACCTCCCCTGGACTCGTTTTTGAAAAAGTAGGGCCGCGCGCCGGCTATAAATTTAGCGTGGAACTCGAATACGTCGCCGACGGGGAGGTCGGACGTCTCGTAGAGGTGCTAAACGCGACTCTAGTCGAAAAAGTCGGAAAAACCGTCGAAGTCGCGACGACGCGGCGCTCTCGGCGATCCAATCGTCCGCCGGGGGACTCGTTTTTGAAAAAGTAGGGTATAAAGTTATATATTAAATATCTACTACATAAAACGATCAAACCTATCCATATAAATAATATCAAAGAGAGTAGTTAGGTATATTATAATAATTGTACAATTTAACTACCAGAATTTAATCATTTCAATTAGATCTATTAGTTTATAAATATTATATCAAATAGTATTTATAATCTGTAGCAGTGTTAACTAAATATTTATTATTATTATTATTTATTAAATAGTTATAGCATAGTCATATAATTTAATTAAACACATTAGATTATATTTATAATATACATAATTTGACTCACCTAAAAACTGTAATATATTAAGTACCTACTACATAGTATAATATATATATATTTTTATAAAATGTTATTATATAAATATATCAATAGGTATAAAGATACATGTATATAATAAATAGCACATAATATATATATATATATATATATATATACATCAATATGTTATTCATAATATTACCAACAACTCAACCTCAACCAAACTGTGATATATTTAATAGGTACCTACGACAAAGCATACATGTAAGTTAGTTATTATTATCGCGTCGAATCGCGGACGGCGTTCATAACTGTCACCGAAAATTTTGAGAGGGGGTCAAAAGTACCCCGACTATGGGGGGACTATTTAGAGGGACTTGAAACGTAAATTTTGGTGGTAAAACGGGGGACCCAAGTCGAAACGTGACAGAGATATACTTAAATCAAAAAAAGGAGGGGGGGGTAATTTTTGATATGGTATGCACGTGGTCACCCACAACCCATAGCCGTTTACAAAATACGGCTACGACGATCCCCGGCTAAGTTATGCTCGGCCAAAAAAAATTTGATTGGGGGGGGGTCAAAAGTACCCCGACTATGAGGGGGGACTATTTAAATATGATAATACGGAACTGATGGAGAAAAGACGAAAAAAAAAACTCAAGATTATCACGGCCGCCGCAAATCTTCGATATCGCCGGGGGACGGTATCGAACCCACGACTCCTAGTTACATGTCCTAGCGCCCTAACCTATCGACTACCTACTCAGATGAAATATCGTGTCAAATCTATGACTATTAAGCCGCGTCGCCGTGCACCCGAAACTGGAAAGCGGCGTCCACGTCCGTCAAATGGCGTCCGAGCGGGGGGGTCGAACGCGTCGGTAAGGGGACGACCGGCTTCGGAAGTTCGATTCGGTGAGATTCGCGAAAAAAATCGATCGTCGGGACGCATGTATTTATGCCTGTATATAGCGATACCCAAAATGTACCTACTACCTACTCGGTACCTACTCTCGTTTCCGCGACGCCGCTCCTCCCCGGGACTCGTTTTTGAAAAAAGTAGGACAGCTCGCCGACTACAAATTTAGCGAGAAACGCGAATAAGACGCAAACGGGGAGACCCGAGGCCCCCGAGGGGGGTAAAATTCGAGATTCGGTGGGATTGGCGAAAAAAATCGGACGTCGAGACGCATGTATTTATGCCTGTATATAGCACACACACGACGTACCCACTCGGTACTTACTCTCGTTTGCGCGTCGCCGCTCCTCCCCGGGAATCGTTTTTGAAAAAGTAGGACTGCGGGCCGGCTATAAATTTAGCGGGGAACTCGAATACGTCTTCGGCGGGGAGGTGAAAAGTCTACAAACGAAGCGAAACGCGACTCTGTTGGAAAAAGTCGGAAAAACCGTCGAAATCGTGACGACGCCGCGGCGTCGGCGACTGTCTAGTCGGATGAGGGGACTCATTTTTGAAAAAGTAGGATAGCGCGCCGGCTACAAATATAGCGAGGAGCACGAATATAACGCGAACGGGGCCGCCCGGGGCCCCCGAGGGAGGTAAAACTCGATATTTCGAAAAACACGGCGAAAAACGCGCGCGACGGCGGCGCTCGTATCGCGCGCGAGATCGGCCGCCGCGGGCCCGCCGGGAAGAAAATACGGCCGCGCGGGGCCTGTAAATCTAGCGGGGAACGCGAATAAGGTCACAGCGGGGAGATCCCGGGCCCCCCGAGGGGGTAAAACTCGACAAACTCGAAAAATTTCGAAAAAATCTCGAAACAGTGATAAGAAAGGCTGATTACGCAGCGACGGCTGCGCCGCCGCGGGGAGACGCTCCCATTGGACGGTCGCTCAAGCCAGTTCGGAATTTATACACAGGCCGCGCCACCAATATTCACGCTTTATATAGTATAGATTTATTTTATTTAAACATAACTCAACAAAAAAAGAAAACAGCTTATGTGGTAGTAACTAAAAGTGAGAGTTGAGAAACCGTCTTTAAACCACTACTTTTATTCTAATGGTTTTTATTTTATATAATCTGATGAAATATCTTTAAGTTTGTAAGCAAGGTTTTAGATAGAATTTCTATCTAAAGTCATGACTACATGATGTAACGTTCTTAGTAATATTATAAAGCTATATTATCATTACAACGATACATTGTTATTATTCTATTTTTTTTATTTTAAAAAAGAAGTTTAGATGTTAAATTTGATAAATAACAAATAAAAATAGTACTTACATAGCTTGTGGAAATTGAAGTATTTTTTCTAAGTATGATGGCTTGTTAGAGTTGTTTTGACTGGTTGCTATTTGTTAAAGAGGTCTGGTAATCTGCTAGCTGACCGTTGGTTGGTGAAGAAGGCTGTTCTGCTGCTGACTGCTCTTGGAACTGCTGTAGCTTGAACTGATGACGATAAGCTAAGAAATTCGGTGTTTTATACCCGAAAATAGCCCCTCTCTGTCCATATCAGAAACTTTATTAAAATGGATTTAAAAATTTTAATATATTCCATATTCTGCTTTCATATAGTGTATTATGAAAGCAAGTTATGTTAGCAAAAATTTAAATTCATATAATGTAGTTTGCTGTTGTACATCTATGTACATGTTTCGATCGGTTTCTGTGAGGTAAGGTCATTGCTATGTTAATTTTAATATTAAATTATTGAAGTAGTGGCAAAATCTGTGTATAAAAGACAGAGGGAATTCACTAATATTCACCAGTCTTCAAGATTTCATCCCAGGACAAGCAGCTCACTTCAACAAAGATGCTACCACAAAAGATGTCGTACCGTACAATTGCTTCAACTGATTCAGAGGTTAGTAACTACTTAGTAAATATCTTATAGCCAAAGCTAATTGGAGGCCGGTTGTAACACTACTCAACGCTATGGTTATAATTCTTAAAATAATATTTAACGTTTGATTATTACATAGTTATAAAAAACTATATAGTAACTAAAGCATATTGGAGGTGTTACTTTAAGTGTTTTTATGTTAACTTTATAAACACACATTTATGATAGTAATTTTTAAATGATAATTAGTCATAAATATAAATAACAATGTTAGTTATAAACATTACCTAATTCAAATTGCATTAAATTACTAATGTTTAATTTAAGCACTTCTATGTAACTTATACAGCATTTAAAGTCAACAATTCAAGTTGTAATTTAAATAATACAAAATAATTTTAAAAAAAGTTTGATCAACTTTGTAATCATTTACTTGTGCTTATGCAAATAGTAATTACATTACAAGTGATTTTTTTGTAGTAAAGAAGGAGGACTAAAATACTATATGTAATTGTTGATTTAAAATAATGTAATATCCAGAAGGTTATATTAATATATTACCACACCATTGCCCATTACAATTTCTCTATTTGTCTTTAATTTTTAGTCATGGAGAGACCAAAAAACAAAAACTTCCAAAAAAGTAGGAGCACTGAGAGCAGCTCGTGTGAAAACTGGAAATAAAAAAATAGATCTACCTCCATTAAGTGATTTTGATAAAAAAGTCTTTGGTTTGATGGGTCATGATTATGTTGAAGGAACTGAATGTGCAGACTATTGGCCAGAAGAACAAGTATTATAAAATATCAATAAGATTTATTGCTTATAGAGTTTTTTAAATTTACTTATATTATTTTTAGGAGGATAATATTGAACGTTTAGTTGCTGGAGATCAAGGGATATTTGATGCTGAACCTTCAGTGTTAACTTTGAGGCAAACTACCGATATAGATCCAGGTTTGTATTGTTATGATTAGTATTAATTCATTTAAATGATTGCATCTGTTTTTAGTTACAATAAATGAGAACATAAATGATCTGGATGAATTGTTAGCTACAGTTGATGACAACTATGTAGTATTACAACCTTATTGTGAAGATGAGTTTACATCAAAACATCTTTTACAAGAAACTTCAATTTCAGCTTCCATAGGACCATCCCAATCTACTCCAAAAAGTAATTTACTAGCAACTCCAATTTCAGCTTCAATAGGAGCATCTCAATCAATTCAAAAAAAGCAAAGTAAACATTTTTCATTATAGTTGTAGTTTAATGGGTAAATTCTAATATAAATATGCACCCATGTACCTATTTTTAAATTAAAAATATTATTAATTTGTTGTGTTGTATATTTTTTAAAACTTAATTATACAAAATATTTATTTATTGATTGGTTTTCATAGTGTTGACAAATAATGCAAAGCAAGTGAAATTAAGTAATCAACTACAGACTGCCAGAGATGCGTTCTCATTGATTGCTGAAAAACAAGTTGAAGCAAATTTTAAAAAAGCAGATGCACTTACAACTATTGCTACAGCATTGGAGAAGTTAGCGGATAACGATAAAAAAAGGTTGGAAAACGAAAAACTTATAATAGAAATCTATACTAAAGTTATAGATAAACTATAAATTTTTGAAATTCTTATTTCAAATCATTTACTAAATTTATGTTTTTATGATAAAAGGTTTATCAGTTTATTTTAATAATGTTTATAATTTGTTATGCTAAATTCCTAAATAAAAGTGATTAATATATTTGTTATGTAATGAAAAAGAATGTATAATAAATTATTTTAAAAAATATTAAAATATAACAAATACTATAGTTTTAATTTGTAATGCATTTTTATTGATCATTGTTTCCATCTCTATAGTTTCCAAACTGTTCCAACATTAATTGTTTTTGAATACGTTGAGCAATTGCTCGAGGTCCTCTTTCATTGCCGATTAGAGCTGGGTCAAATTCAGGTTCAGGTTGATTTTCAAGTAATTCATCTTGATTGTTTTCTTGATCAATGATATCAAAATCTTCAAGAGTAGGTAGATTGCAATGGATACGAATATTATGAAGAGTAGCACATGCATTGACAATTTTACCTGCCATGTCAGGTGAATACATAAGCACTCTCTGATAAGACAAACATCTCCACATGCTTTTTAACACCCCAAAAAATCGTTCTACTACATTCCTAGCTTTACAAATTTTCTTAGTATACTCAAAATGTCTAGTACCTTCTGGATAGTGTGGCAATGGAGTCATCAGCCATGGTTCTAACGGATAACCAGCATCTCCTTAAATATACATTTATAATAATAATATAAATTATTATCTTAGTTAAAAAAAGAGAAAAAAATGTTTTTATGTATCTTAAATAGGTACCTATTAGCCATGTTTGGCGTTCACCATTATTATAATGGTAGGTACTCCATTCCACGACGCACTGGTGACATACTCCAAATATACGAGTCATTTCTAGCACCAGGGTATCTCGCATTAATATTTAAAACTTGTAATTTTGAATTTACAATCTATGATATAGGACATAGGTAATTTAAAGTATAAAAAACAATACTGTAAGATGAAAAAAACTTATCTTACAGCTTGCACATTTAATGAATGTTTACCATGATGGTTAACATATGCTTCTTCATGTTGCCGAGGAGCAAGTATATGTATGTATGTACAATCAATGGCACCAATTGTACCTTCAAATGATTGAGGAGCGTGTGCAAAAGTTTCTCGAGCTCTTTGTCTTTCAGCACTAGTCATTGGAAATTTAATCCATTTTCGTAACAGACACTGATTAATAGCTTCAGTAACATAATGTATGCATCGACTAACCGAAGGTTGGCTAATATTTAATATACTATTACCACCTAATCCTTTTTGGTAACTCCCTTGTGCATAAAAATGAAGACAAACTAACACCTTAAAAAATTATATTTAAATTTAGGCAATAGGCAATATTGTAATATATTTAAAATAATTTTTAAATTAAGTATTTGGAAACTATTTTAAATATTGTCTTATGCATATTTGTATTTGAAAATCAAATACTTCTATGTAAAATCTTTTCAAAATTGAATAAAATTATCTGTTCATCGAATCACATTTCAATTTGTTTTTGATAATCATTATATTATTATTTTATTTGTAACTAAAATTTAATTATTACACATTGATTTTAATATTTATTTATTTTAGATTTCATTAACAACCATTTATCATTAATTTTTATTAAAGTTTAATATTACAATTTTTTATTAGAGTATTATCATTTTTTTTTAGTATATAATGAGGGAGGTAGTATATTATACCAAGTTCTATATCTGACATTACAACTTTAAATTATAAATTATTAACTATAAAATTAATTTTAATACTGGATTTTACAATTAAAAAGTATTTAAACACATGTCAAGTATTTATTAGGTTCTTAAATTGTTTTTCTGATATATTTTAAATACTTTCTGAATTGTATCTGTGTTTAAATGAGTTCAAAAAACAACACTGATAATAAACATTACAAGTAATTGTTTATCCTTCATAAGTGCTGTATAGTATTTGAGTAAAAGTATTAAAATACTTTTTTAAGTATTGAATAATTTTTTAAATACTTTCAGCATGAAGTATTTTCATTGGTACCTATTTTAAATACTTTTCTTATATTTAATACTTTGATTTTTTTCTAATATTTTATTTTCATTTGAATATTTGTTTGGAAAAATATTATTGCCAATTACAATAACTGAATAATAGTTTTATTTAGTATTTTTTTTATAGATACCTACTTGTAATTCAGGAGATAATCCAGATGTTCTTTTATGCTGTAATGATGTCCTCAATGCATCAATTATATTTATAACCAATTGTTGGCTCAAACGAAATGCACCCATTCGGTAATTCAAAAGGGTTTTGACCATCCCTAAGTATTCTTCTTTCTAAACGTCTTCCAATTATAAGAACTCTTTCTTCCAAAAAAATCTGTTCCCAAGCCAAATAAGCAAGAGCCATACTTAAATTAAATTTGATTAAAATAATAAAAGAAAAAACAATGCATTTAAGAAAATAACTATTAGGTAGTTGTTATTTGATCATAGTTCAAGTACTCAAAAGCCAACGTTTTTCCATGACAATTGACAACATTTATTTTGTCATGTATATTTTCATAATTATCGTTTTGAAGAATGAGGAACATAGGCTTATAATAAACTTATATTATAAGTCTATGATGAGGAAACACATACAAATATGTTTCGTTAAACGTTAACGAGGGGTTTCAAAGTGGCACTATCGTTAACGTCTGTTATCGATTTTATTAACGACAAATATCGATAACTTATCGAAAACCTAATTACAGAATCTCTTTTTTTTTAAATTGTCGATAACACAGCTTCCGATAGCTTAACGAACCGAAAGTTGTCGTTAAGCTAACTTATCGACTTACAGAATTCATCTACAGTGGTGGTTAGTGTCTTGTATACCATGGTAGGTATATTAGAGTGAGAAGCCGACAGGGGTTTCAGTGTTCAGTCATTCTGTTGCCTGTTTGTATTTTGGCGAAACCTTATTTATACATTTTCAGAAATTAGAACTATAAAATAATATTTTAGAAATAACATTTAAATTAGGTAGTACATTCCGATATATTGGTAATTGGAATTTTGACCAGTAGAATGAAAAAAGTATTTAGTATTTATTCTAGGTTAAAAATACAAGTAAAAAGTATTTTTTAAGTATTTAGAATACATTGGTCAAAAAGTATTTGAAATTCAAAAATGTATTTGAATACTTAACAAGAATGTCATCAACCATTACGATTTAAAAAAACAGTGATTCAAAAACTATATTAAATTGAAAATTTGAAAACCATAGTTTTCGGATCACAGTTTTTTTTAAAACGTAACGGTTGTATCAACTGTAGCCGACTAGGCTATTACTAGCGTCTTTAAATGTAGGTATTTCATAATAACTATAGGTACTCTCTTTTTTATTAAAAGTTAAAGAGAAATGAGAATTGATATTCAATTTTATTAGTGTATTACCCAATGTTTGATAAAAATTACTATTATAATTACTATGAATATATAAATATAATATACCTATTGTATATCTATATTTAATAACATATATAAATATACAAATAATATACAAATATAGAAATAATTATATTTAGATATCTATCAAGTCATAAAAATCGGTTGAGATATTTTGCAAATTATTTAACCTTAAACCTGTGATAATAAAACCGCCAATATTCGATTGATAACATCAAACCCATGTGGACTCATAAGTCATAATCCTTATTATTATTTATTATTGTTGTCAATGAGACAGCGTCAGGCGTTCCGTTTATGTCGATAAAGTACCTACTTCTATACTAACATAGAATAATATAGAAGCGACACTCGCCCCTCCACTTTAATTGTTTTTATTTCGTGGCGGACTGATTGATGTTGTAAGCTTGGCGGTAAGGCATGATGTTAGGATCGCTTTTATCGCCGAAACAGAACGCTCGAGACCAGCCCGCCAAAGTTTAAAAAAAAGGTCACTTCATAGTACTATCTTAGATTAAATAACCATATAATATATATTTTATAGTACATAAGTACATAACTATATAATAATAATGTTATAATGACTATGTACCTATATTGTTTTATGATACTACCATACATATTATATAAACATATTTATAGAAAGCCATATTTAAAAAAAAAAACCATAAATGCATTAAGAAAAAGGTGATTAAGTGGATGTCGCTCTGCTGTACAGTAGGTTACAAGTGGGTCACTGTATAATTGATGCTATTAAATTTGAATTCAATGATACAATATCATTGTATAAGAAAAACGATTCTGAGCGAAGACGGTATGTCAGTCTAGGTTTAAGACAAATTATACACATATCTATGGTATTAAAAAAAAATTGACCTATAATAAATTCCAAATTAATCATATCACATTATCACAATATCCATTAGGTACTTATAACACGTTATACACCAACAACAAACCCTGATACTATCATATATATATAATAGTACACTTTAGAAGTTTCAAGTAGGTACCCACGAATAATATTATATAATCACAACAAAATAACTAGGTTTTTTAATATGTAATTTCGTCCAAATTTGAACATAAAATGACTATAAAAATAATCTGCGATTGTATATTTTTTAGATTTTTCGGTAACTACTTACGTGGAATCTTGTTTTAAATTTTCAATCTTTAGCTATGAAAACTGATCATTTTATAATTTATTAATTACGATGATTAATAATTTTCGAGATTTTGAAAAATTCTGTCAAAATTCGATGTTAAAATGCTTATAAAAAAAAATTGTGCCTATGTATTTTTAATATTTTTCAACTGATATTGTAAGAATATATCAGGAGCTTTGTATTACATTTTTACACTTTTTGGCCCAACAGATAAAACTTTATTGATATTTATAGAAAAAAAAACTAAAAAAATTGAAAACTGAAAATGTCCGTAAACGGCTCAAAAAGAGTCAAAATATTTTCAAAATTGTATGGTGTATAGGAAATGCCAATATAAACATTCAGTGAAATTTTCATGTATCTACAGTAATTCGTTTTTTAATTACAACAAAAAAAGGAAATTGCAACATGAGAAATCGAGTGAATATCCAATGTTGTAAAAATTTGAATTTCAAACGCTCATAAAAATTTAATTTGACTTTCCGGTAGAAATTTTTTTATTGATAAAGGTAGACAATCTTATGAGTAATCTTGTATTAGATTTTCAAATCTTAGATTTAAAAAGAAAAATTTTTACGAATTCTTAACTCAAAATAATTTGCTAATTTTCGTGATTTTTCCATATTTTGTCAATATTTGAACTTTAAATGCTTATAAAAAAAAACTGTGACTTACGATTTTTAATATTTTTCATCTGCCTTTGAAACAATATACTAGGAGCCTTCAATTAAATTTTCAAGTTTTTTTAACCAACAAATAAAATTTTATTGATATTTCTAGAAAAAAAACTAAAAAAAAATGAAAAATTAAAATGTCCCTAAACAGTTCAAAATAAATCAAAATATTTTGAAAATGTTATCGTGTATAGAAGATGCAAATATAAACAACCAGTGAAAATTGCATGTACCTACGGTCATTTGTTTTAAAGTTACACCAAAAACCAAATTCGATTTTGTCAAAAACCGATTTTGTTTAAAAATTCCTGTTTTTCCTTAATTTTTATGTTGTTTTTCCCAGCGCTTGTGAAAACTATTGGGAATTTTAAATTTTGACCTCCCCAATGCACCAACGATATTCACTTTCCAATCGAACAAGATACTGAAGTCGAAAATCGAAGCATTATTTCGACTACTTATCGTGTACACAGACACAAAAAAAATAAAAAAAAGGTGGGTAAGTGGATGTCGCTCTGCTGTACAGTAGGTTACAAGTGGGTCACTGTATAATGGATGCTTTTAAATTTGAATTCAATGATACAATATCATTGTATAAGAAAAACGATTCTGAGCGAAGACGGTATGTTAGTCTAGGTTTAAGACAAATTATATACATATCTATGGTATTAAAAAAAAAATTGACCTAAAATAAATTCCAAATTAATCATATCACAATATCCATTAGGTACTTATAACACGTTATACACCAACAACAAACCCTGATACTATCATATATATATAATAGTACACTTTAGAAGTTTCAAGTAGGTACCCACGAATAATATTATATAATCACAACAAAATAACTAGGTTTTTTAATATGTAATTTCGTCCAAATTTGAACATAAAATGACTATAAAAATAAACTGTGATTGTATATTTTTTAGATTTTTCGGTAAGAGAATTAACTACTTACGTGGAATCTTGATTTAAATTTTCAATCCTTAGCTATAAAAACTGAACATTTTATAATTTATTAATTACGATGATTAATAATTTTCGAGATTTTGAAAAATTCTATCAAAATTCGATGTTAAAATGCTTATAAAAAAAAATTGTGCCTATGTACTTTTAATATTTTTCAACTGATATTGTAACAATATATCAGGAGCCTTGTATTAAATTTTTACACTTTTTGGCCCAACAGATAAAACTTAATTGATATTTATAGAAAAAAAAAACTAAAAAAATTGAAAACTGAAAATGTCCGTAAACGGCTCAAAAAGTGTCAAAATATTTTCAAAATTGTAGGGTGTATAGGAAATGCTAATATAAACATTCAGTGAAATTTTCATGTATCTACAGTAATTCGTTTTTTAATTACAACAAAAAAAGGAAATTGCCACATGAGAAATCGAGTGAATATCCAATGTTGTAAAAATTTGAATTTCAAACGCTCATAAAAATTTAATTTGACTTTCCGGTAGAAATTTTTTTATTGATAAAGGTAGACAATCTTATGAGTAATCTTGTATTCGATTTTCAAATCTTAGATTTAAAAAGAAAAATTTTTACGAATTCTTAACTCAAAATAATTTGGTAATTTTCGTGATTTTTCCATATTTTGTCAATTTTTGAACTTTAAATGCTTATAAAAAAAAATTGTGACTAAGGATTTTTAATATTTTTCATCTGCCTTTGAAACAACATATTAGGAGCCTTCTATTAAATTTTCAAGCTTTCGCAACCAACAAATAAAATTTTATTGATATTTTTAGAAAAAAAACTAAAAAAAAATGGAAAATGAAAATGTCCCTAAACAGTTCAAAATAAATCAAAATATTTTGAAAATGTTATCGTGTATAGAAAATGCAAATATAAACAACCAGTGAAAATTTCATGTATCTACGGTCATTTGTTTTAAAGTTACACCAAAAACCAGAATCGATTTTTTGGAAAACCGATTTTGCGTAAAAATTCCCGTTTTTCCTTAATTTTTATGTTGTTTTTCCCGGCGCTCTTGAAAACTACTGGGAAATTTAAATTTTGACCTCCCCGATGCACCAACGATATTCACTTTCCAATCGAACAAGATACTGAAGTCGAAAATCGAAGCATTATTTCGACTACTTATCGTGTACACAGACACAAAAAAAATAAAAAATAAAATAAAAAAAAAAACACACATCATTGTAAAATCAATACATTCATCGTTTCACTCAGAATCTAAAAAACACACATCATTGTAAAATCAATACATTCATCGTTTCACTCAGAATCTAAAAGTAGTTTTTATGCAAAACCAGATTTCAACAAAAATCGGGTTTTTATCTAGTTCCCTGACTATTTTGAATATAATGAAGGTGCTGATTGTTTGGATGATTTAGACCAAGTATTGACTACGGTGAGCAAAATACCAGCAGAAGATTTGAAAACAATATTCCCTGACAAGCAGAAAGTAATTCACATTAATTCATTACCCATTGATGCAACCCATTACAGGTCATTAGAATTACCAGAAAGAAATGCTTTTACATATATATGTGGTTATTTGATTATGAAATGTTTTAACATGCATTCTTGTGAGTTGTGAAACATGTATAGGATATGGCAGATCTACCACAAAGTTATCTGATGAACTTTTTTTTACACACTTCAAAGCACATCAACACAGTTCTATATCAATGTTTTCATCGTTAATGACCCCAGATTGTACTTTTTACCAGTATATTTTTGAATTAGACACTATATTTACAAATCAATTTCCTACTTTAGCACCATTACCAAAAGTAGGGCAAAAACTAAAAACTTTAATGTTAAATATGTACTTTGAACATCCCTGTGAACAATTCCCTCATGAATATGTGTTAAACTTATTTATAAGATTTAGAATTTATAATACGTTAACCAGAACCAATCGAAATTTGCAAATTCCTCGCACAAAAAATAGAAAATTGCAAATTTTATGTAATTTATAAATATTTTTATGTATATATTATTTTTTTATTTGATAATGTAGTTAGTAATTTTGTATAAAACATGGTCTGTAAATAAAAGAATTTAAAAAGTAGTTATTAATTGGTTATTTTATGTTAAAATGTGTTGTTATATCATTTTATTATCTAGTTTGTATATTTTGTATTTAAGTAAATTGTAATTCTCTACCTTCAACCATAGAACATTAATGTTCTATGCTTTAACACAAGCATGTCTTATACCCTTATAGAAGGTAGATAATGCATTGTATATGTTAAATAATAAGTAGGTACCTATATACATTAATACATTAATAGGTATCTGAAAAAACTATTTACAATATTATTAAATAAATATCTTAAAAAAATATACTATCTGTAATCCGTCCATCGATCATATTCATGTCGTAAAAGTGGTAAAACATTAAAAATTAAAAAAATTGACGTAGTATTATTAAAATTTATAAATTTTAATACTCTTATCGCACGATTATCAACAAGAATGATGTTGTAAGCTTGGCGGTAAGATAAGAAGTTACGAACAATTTCAAGGCCATGAAACATTCTAGACTCATTAACGTTGGCCGCCCGAGAGTGTCGCTTCTATATTATTCTATGATACTAAATACTTCTATAGTTCTATTCAAACTATCAACCTTAGGTACCTAAGTATATATAATATTTTACAATTTTACCGTTAAGTTCTTTTTGAATTTTCTCGAGTTTGTTGTTGAATTTGTTATTATGTATTGTCATGTTGTCTTTGCCATCATTATCATCAGTTATATTCCATATGCCAGTGGGTGAGTTCATTATTGTCACATTATTTTCTAAATCAGATAGTATTAAACATTTAAACAAAATTAGATACCTATATTGTTTAAAACTCAGTAAAATTTATATTTAATGTTAATTTGGGCTCAAAATGATAATAGGTATACTATAATAATAGGTACCTATTATAAATAAAAGTATAATTATTAAGTAAGTACTTCTACATAGTCTATCTCAAATAATAGCCAATAGGTACCTATAACCTAGGAAGGCCAAACAGATTTTCAGCAGACTAATATTATATAATTATAATTTGTACTTTAGAGTTATTACAAAAAATTATTCAGTTCTTTTTATTTTCCATTTACTAATCGTCTATATTATACCTAATAATACTAACTTTGTACTTAAATTTATCTAATATAATATATATAATTCTAAATTACATTAATACTATGTAATGAACAAGTATATAAATAGTGTATATAAAACAAAACCTGAAATCCTCAATTATTCATAAAATACTTAATATAAACCGAACACTTTTATATTTAGTTTAAATAATTTAATAATACATAATAAATTAATGATAATATCACATAGCCATAGTTGCCAATTCTTAAGACCAATAAAAAAAGAGATTATTCTTGCCTTGCGCAAAATAAATTATTGGTAGTCAGGCCAAAATACAATCTACATACATTTAAGTACATATGCATAAGCATACCTCAAATGAAACCACTGACCTATATTATAATATAAAAATGTATACTCAGGTATATACCCAGGTATATACTTATATTTATAAGTTACCAGAATTAAATATAATATATTTTTCATACCACTAAGAGATAATTTTTGAGGTGATTTGATTGATCCACATAACAAATTTGGTTTGTAATTTATTCTACTATTCTTTTCCCTCACCCGTTCATCAAATAATTTAACTGGCGATTTTCTTTTGCCTATTTTTGATACATTATATTATTAAAGACATAATAATTTACTTAAAGTACCTAGGTACCTAAATTTTTCTCTAGTTTTTCATACCGTTTAGTTTTTGAGGAGTATATGTCATGTCGGCATCCGAATCATCAATATCTGTAACATCTAATATTGCATTGGATAAGTACTTATAAAATAATTAACTAAGTTTATCATTGTATTACCAGATCCCTCTATAAACTTGGGAGGACTTAGTGCTGTCTGTGGGACGGCCTCTAATATTTTGTCTTTTTTAGTCCTTTGAATAGAATTCTTTAAACAATTTTCATCATCAAATTGTTTTTTGAATCTGTCCTTCCTGGTTTCTTTTCCTTCGTTTGATGATGACAAGTCAGATGTATAAGTTGCTTTAGTAGCTTTCATTTTAGCTTCTTTTAAACTTACTATAAAATTAGGTAGAATTTTTAAATATTTTTCATATTGGTATTTGTCAATAATTAGTAATTAATTGTTATATATTATATAATAATCCATATTCTTTAATAACATTAAATTATTTAAAAATGTTATACTTACAACAATGAAAAAAAAAATAATATAATATTGTGTTTAACTTAAACATTATTACTTACTAATATCTGTTGCCAAAACCCGGACACTATACCAGTTGTATTCATATGTATTTGGATGCATCATTTTTTCAATCCGTTTTTGGGGGTTGAAATTTGATTTTGGCCACGCACACTTAATGCCATCTTTTGATAGCCAATTACTAGGAACAGCCTCAACAACATTTTCATTTTTAAATACAACGACAGAAAACGTCATTTTTCAATAGGTCCTATAAATTGCATTTAAATTAGAAATAATTATACGGATACCTTTTCTTAATCATATTTTATTTAAATTATAATAGGTATATTATATTATTAAATACAGTATAGCTGGTATATACGTATATAATTATTATTTTTTAAATACCTATAAAACCAAAAATGTATTAACAACTAATTAGGTAGGTACAATTACTATAAGAACAAATAATAATAATTTTTAATTTAATATTCTGAATGTATAATTGGTAATGCTATGTTTTGGCCATCTTTTTCTAGCAGCATTACTTTTTTTTTAACATGTTTTAGAGGAATCCAAATTAGCTCATTTGATAAACTTTTAACTATGTATATATCTAAAATAGTTGATCTTAATGGTTGTTCATAGAATGGTATTTTAATTAAGTATAATTTTCCAATTAAAACCACTTCATTTGTGTTCATTGTATGCCCTATATTAAGAACTTCCATAATATTATTGTCTTTGGTCAATATAAAGCGATCAGCTGTAGACATTGTCTTAATTTTCATATTTTTGAAATGTACATTTCTGTATTGTTGTGATGTCAAATCGTTGTTTATAACATTCATCTTTAATACAACCTTTGAAAACAATTTGCCCTGTGTACAATAGAATTTGCCTAAATTCAGTGGCCTTGAATCTTGCTAATTCACTCAAAGGTCTTGGCTTAAGTGCCAATTCACAAGGTATACTTGATTTCAAAGATATAAGTTGTTCTGATATTTTTTTTGATACTGAAATTTGTATTCTTACATTTAAAGGACCTCTATCAAGCCATAAATGGATTAACTTTTTCATTATGCCAAGACAAACAAGATGCATATAGTCCAGTGCAAATGTATCCACAATATCAATATTTGGTAAATCAGATAATATAGAAATTATATTTCCAGTATGATGTTCTTCATATTTTCTGGATACATAGTCATTATGTGTACGTTTTATTAAACTACTATTGGTAAATGGAAAGCATGTTCGATTTCTCAAGTATTCACCTTCTTCCAAACACCGTGTACATGAATCAAAGCCTGCATGTCCTTTTATTTTAAGTATAAATGATTTTGCTGGGGAATCTAAAGAAAATCCATCTATTATCACTTTCATATCTAATCCATTTATAACTATACCATTTGTTAATAACAATTTGGCTTCTGACACAAATTGTTGTAAATAGTCATTTGAATCATGCGGCTTCTGGTAGCCCCAGTAAATTCCAATTGGAAACACTGAGTTGCTATTAGGGCGTATGTATCCTAAAATTGGCCATAACTGGCTTGAACTACTTTTTGCGATTGGTAAACCATCAATGCTAATAACAATTTTAATAATATCAATATTACTTGTGGAATTTATTTTAAAATGATTTTGAATTGCATTACTCAAGCAAAAATGATAATATTGACCTGGTTTTACTGTAGTCAAACTTTCTGTCTCGTTTATTGTTCTTGTTTGCAGTATAGTACGAGAATCCTTGGGGAGTTGTGATAACACTGGCACTTTTCTTAAAACGTTCAATAAACCATCCAAAGCATTTCGGCAAATATTAAAGTCTGTTACCCATTTGACTAAATTATATTTAAATTCATCAAGAACATCAGTTGGTTTATTTGATATGGGAAATATATTTTCAGAAACCTAAAATATATAATGTAAACCCTTATAAATTATAATGTTTACAAACAATTAATAAATAATATGATGTTTTTATACTTTGTATAATGTGTGATCAGGCTTCAACTGAGGACTATCACTTAAAACTTCTTGAGCACTGTATTCAGGAATAATTTCATTATTTAGTATTTCTTCTGTATGGTTATCTATTTGCATTACATCATCTGGTCTAAATTGTACTACTTCAGTGTTATAAGTGTCAAATCCAACTATAGAGTCTAGCTCTTCCTTAATACGCCTCTGTTTTGTTCGTTTACTCGCCATAATTCCTATGTAAATTTTTATAATAAGTTATACCCATAATATATAAATAATAATAATAATAATAATAATAATAATAATAATACTAATATAGGTACCTATAACTTTTATTTTCATGTTAAAATTTAAAAATAAAAAATAAAAATATCAATATCCATTGTTGTTACTAATGTAGGCAAACAAAATATGTAGCTCAAAATTAATTATAAATAATTACAGGGCAAGTCTAAGTAAATTTGATAGATTATATAGAATTATATATTCATGTCAATATTAACCATAAGTGTCCATAACACATCATGCTTTTCTTTGTTTATCACCATATTGTTCTCATAATTAATTATGTTGTTCATCTCACTTTATATTTATTATTTAATATTTATAATATTTTATATATTATTTTATGTTGTCTCTTCTTGCTTAAAACCTATTATTATAATACAATATTACTTGTTACTTATATGTATACACTATACTGTCATTATATTTTATTTAATGTAGTTGGAATTGTTTTCCTTGAATAAAGAATTATTATTATGATTATTAACTATAGCTGTTAAAATAAAAATAATAATTTTTTGAATATACAATCTACCTACTTATGAATTTAAAACTATAATATATAAATTTAAATCTAATTAAAAACTAATCTGTTGGTCTGGTTGTACTCAATTGTTGGAAGTAACCATATATAATAAATATATTAAATATACATAAGTTATTAATTATTATATAGTGAAATGAAAACAAATTATAAAAATATTAGTTGGAAAATAAAATAATGCATCCATAATAAGATTTTACTACTCTATACTTAATCATTTACATTTTACATTTAGATATCTGCAGACTACTAATTTTAGTAGCTGATTTAAATCTAACATATTATTAATTAATCAATACAATATAATAATATTGTTGTGGCTGGTACGCCCGACAATTATTGCTCTAAGGAGATTACCAACAGCTTAGAATATCAAGGAGATGATTTAAGAAAAATAAAAGAATAAAGATATGAGTATAGTAATACGCAAATAATATTTGATAATAATAACACAAATGACGACTTAACCTATGTTAGTAGTATTAACTCAGGCGATCACAAAACGATGCACCATAATAATTACAGCATATATAAAATATTAATTTAACAATAATAATAATATTTATCAAAACAACAATACAATCACGGTACGACCTGATGCTGGTGATATGGCACCGCGGCGGAACAGCTGGTTTATATGACGACGGTGTGATATCACGTATATGTGTGTGTGTGTGTGTGTGATGTGATGCTCGAACGGCTGGCTCGCGCTGCGCTTTCGCGGACGGGCGATATTTATAAGACGCAAAGACACTTCATGCATTCGCACTGCGACGAGGGACGGGCGAGAATGCAATGACGAGCGAATTGCGGTCGTGATGCGAGAACTCGGACGACGGTTTCATGCGTACTACGTGCCTACTGACGTGTAGAGCATTTGCGTATAACATGTACGTACGTGCGAGCGAGATTTGGTAAAAAGTAAAAACACAAAAGCACACAGGGCGGCAACGGACGACACGCACTGGTCGTCGCGGCTACTTCACCGGTACTGGAGAAGCGTACGCGGAGTCACCGCCGCCGTGACCGGTCGGCCGACAGATAAGCTTATCGGGCCTTTGGTGGTGGACACGGCGTGCAGGTGCACAACGTTGATTGTGGCGTCAACATACTCCCCCTTTGGAAGACTAAGGCTCTTCCAAAATGTGATCGAGGCGTAAACGAAGATGAATTTTTGAACAAAAATATAATACATATAAGGTAAACAAAATAATTATACAAAATAAAAAAAATACACGAATATCAGTTTAGAGGAGAGGAAAGACCTTTGCTGCGTAGGAATAAAAATTTTTTTTTTTTTTAATTGATTGGAAGACGAGCTAACTTGACCACGGGCCGCTTGAGGGTGCCATCACTGGTACGGAGAGTTACTACCCTCACAACTCCATCTTCGCCGGGATGAACTGCTTCAACCCGTCCCATTTTCCAGAGTGTGGGTGGTAAATTTGGTGCCTGCACTAGCACAAGGTCACCAAGTGTGACATTAGGTTGCGCGTGGTACCATTTCGATCGGACTTGCAATAATCGCAAGTATTCTGAAGACCAACGTTTCCACAAAGATTGGTGAAATTGATCCAACAGCTGCCATCGGTTGAGACGGTTCATCGGAATCTACGTCATATCGGGGTCAGGCAGCGTGACGAGAGGTGCCCCTGTGAGGAAGTGACCTGGTGTTAACACTTGTAAATCATTCGGATCTGACGAAAGGGGTGTTATTGGTCGTGAGTTCAGTATGGCTTCTATTCGTTGAGTTATAGTGCACATCTCCTCAAATGTTAACAGTTGGGTGCCAATTACTCGTTTCAGGTGGGTTTTCATGGATTTGACAGCTGCCTCCCACAATCCCCCGAAGTGGGGAGCAGCCGGTGGGTTGAAGTGCCACCTACATGGCACAGCATTTGAGACACTGTTTTGTGCTTCAGGATCTGACCACAACCGACGCAATTCAGATGCGGCACCTTGGAAATTGGTACCACAGTCTGAGTATATTTCCAAAGGTATTCCTCGGCGAGCAATAAAACGCTGCAATGACGCAAGGAATGCCGAAGTTGTAAGATCAGAGACCACTTCGATGTGCACCGCTTTCACGGCCATGCAGATGAAGATCGCCACATAACATTTTGTAGAGCGGGCGTTCCGACGTTTGCTTTCTTTGATCAAAAGTGGTCCTGCGTAATCTACACCGACATTAGAAAAAGGTCTCGATGGACATACTCGTGAGGAAGGAAGATCGCCCATTAACGTTTTGACTGTTGACGCTCGATGTCGTGTACAGGTAACACATTTGAAAATAATGTGACGAATAACTGATCGACCTGACACAATCCAAAATTGAGAAGACAACAAGGATGCCACAAGCTGAGGCCCAGCGTGCATACCAGTTATATGATAATATCGGATCAATAGCAACGTTAACGCGCTTGACTTTGGCATTAACACTGGATATTTGAAATCTTCCGGTGCGGTTGAACGGCGCAATCGTCCACCCACGCGTATGATTCCAGACGCGTCAATAAACGGGGTGAGACAAGCTATCGAACGAGGTTTAATTGACGATGACGAAGATGAAATAAGCTTGAGTAACTGTGAAAAGTGGATGCGTTGCGTTATTTGGACTAGCGTCTGTAAAGCATCACGAAGTTCTTCATATCGAAGGAATCCTGTAAACATGGGTGGATGGTCGTCACATTAATGAGTGGGCTTTCGCTGGAGTGACTTGTGACGAGCGTTGATGATGAAACGTCTCATGTAAGCAACAACTCTCTTTAGACGAGTCAATGATGAGAATTTTTCAAGCCATTCGTCGTTCGCTGTTGGTGTAACAATAACGTGCAAAGTCTCTGCTACGGTTTTCTGTTCAGGCAGTTCAGCGACGGGAATTTTTTCATACTGTGGTGATTTCCAAGTATCAGGTGACTGTTGGACGAAAGACGGACCATCCCAGTATAAACTGTGTTCTAATGCCTCAGTAGGAAGCAGGCCACGGGACACACAGTCAGCTGGATTTTGCATTGATGGTACGTATCGCCAATGACCCGAGGGCAGAAGTTCACCTATCTTGTTAAGCCTGTTCGTAACAAATACTTTGAATGTAACTTGCTGAGTTGTTAGCCAAGACAACACCACTGTAGAATCGGTCCATGCATGAATCGAGGATATATGAGTGATTGACGATAATGCATTTTGTACACGATGCAATGTTTGAGCTAATAGCAGTGCCCCACATAATTCCAACCTTGGAATGGAAAGTGACTCGTCCAGACGGTTGTTCTTTAACGGCGCCACCTTTGACCTTGCTGTAAGTAGATGTACTGTGCCCGGTCTTGACGCATACGACAATCGCATGTAAACAACAGCTGCGTATCCCTTTTGTGATGCATCGGAAAAACCTAGTAGTTGAACGTCAGTACACTGTTCAATAGGAATATGTCTCCTGATTTTAACTTGTGAGACCGAAGGTAACTGTCTAGAGAATGAATTCCAGGAAGAAGCTAGTTCGTCGTTGATCGGTTGGTCCCACTCATAAGCGTTTTTCCATAGAATCTGCATGAAGCACTTAGCCCAAAAGGTGATGGGTGATAAGGCTCCGAGTGGGTCATAGATCTTAGCTATCGCGGATAGCACTGAACGTTTCGTAGGTCGAGAGACGCAAGGATCACTATGATAACTGAATATATCATTTGCCGGGTCCCAATGTAACCCCAAAATCTTTATTGAACAATCATCCTTTGGGTCGAATGACAGTTCCACAACTTGATCGTCCTTTGGGATATTTTGCAGAACTTGTGGACAGTTACTTGCCCACTTTTTTAGCTCAAATTGACCTTGACCTAGCAAACCGATGAGCTGTTTCTGCAACGTCATGATCTGTTCGACTGAGGCAGCTCCGGCTATAATGTCGTCGACGTAAGTTTGACTAGATAACACTCCTTGTGCAGCTGGGTATTTTGAACCTTCGTCCAGTTCCAATTGATGCAATACACGGATGGCTTGGAAGGGAGAAGAGGACACTCCGTAAGTAACTGTCGACAGTGCATACTCCTGTATTGATTCAGCTGGATCGTTGCGCCACAAAATATGCTGGTAAGAGCATTCTGCTGGTGACACCTGTATTTGTCTATACATTTTGCATATATCTGCTGTGAGCATATATTCATGAAAGCGACATCGTAATAATAGATCTGCTATGTCACATTGCAATTTGGGTCCGGTAAATAACAAATTGTTTAATGATGTTCCAGAGGACGTAGTGGCAGACGCGTCAAATACGACTCTTAATTTAATTTTTCCGTTCGTTCGTTTGACAACTGCGTGATGTGGAATGATGTAGTTTCCTGGAGTTTGCGCGAGTTTCATGTGGCCAAGTTGTAAATACTCGTTCATAAAAGCTTTATACTCCTCGTATATGATAGGATCAGCTGTTAATTTACGCTCCAAATTATAAAATCTTGATAGTGCCATTGACCGGGATTCACCAAGAGCGGAAGGTTTGGTTTTAAACGGAAACGACACTGAGTACCTCCCCGACGGATCTCTAGTGGTTGTACGGCGGAAAATCTCTTCGCACTTCTGTTCTTCTGTAAACGGATTAGGTAAAACCACAGGCTCCTCAACTTCCCAAAACCGGTTCAGCAATTGTTTAAGTGACGGTTCGGTTGTCAACGACAGTGATACTGGCGATGACAAAGTGCTTGAGGCTGCCGCGGCTCCAACAATAATCCAGCCTAATGTTGTCTCGAACGCAGAAGGCAACCCTGGAGTATGGCGTACATGATAACCGTCTGTGAAAATGTGGTTGTACACGTCAGCGCCTAGTAAAAATTCAATTTGCCCCGGACGATCGAAATTCGGATCTGCGAGCTCCAGACCCATGTACTGAGTTCGTATGGATAAATCTAACACTTTCGAAGGCATCAACCCAGTAATCTTTGACAATAGAACGGGTTCACAACTTAGCTTTCGATCTAACCTCATGTGTGGAACTATGCTGCACAAGACTACACCTTTTGCCTGGACTACGGGGCTCTGTGACAATCCGACTACATTGATTTTACGATTGCACCGAGTAAGACCAAGTCGTGTTGCACACTTCGTTGTTATAGCAGATATTTGTGATCCACAATCTATTAATGCACGGACTGGTACCCACTGTCCCTGTTGGTTGCACATCCGAATAACAGCTGTGCCTAAAACACTCAAATTGCCGCTGCTAACGGTACCAACGAATGACGTGTCATCGGTGCTTGGTAGATTACCAACGGGGGCTGCCGACGACGATGGAACCGCGGGTGCATGGTTAATTGGATTAGTGCCAGCCTGACGCTTTCGTGATTCGAAGTGCAGTAACGAATGATGTTTTCCGGAACAGGTTCGACACGAATACTTCGAAGGACATGTGGAAGCCGTATGGGAACTACTGAGACAATTTGAACACATGTTATTGGACTTTACCAGCTGAAATCGTGCTGATGTGGTTAGTCCCTTAAACTTCTCACATTTGTATACATAGTGTGTCCCTTGGCACGCATAGCAGTGAGGATCTTGCTCCTTGGTTGCAGCCAATAACGATGATCTTGACATTACAGGCTTTCGGCGCGTGAAAGCTGCAGGTTTTCTTTCGGCGTCTGACATTGAACTATTTTGTAGGATTTTGCACCGAGATTGTATGAATATTAATAAATCATTGAGAGTGGGAAGATGATGTGCGCCCTGATCAGCCTCGAAGAGACGCTTCGTCGAACTATCCAGAACGCGCAACGCTATATAAAATAATAGAAAACCGGACAGATCATGCACACCTAGAGCGTTGATCGCTGCTGTGTTCTCTTTGAATACATCTAAAAAGTTATTTAGGTCATTTAGCGATTCTTTTTGTATGGGAGAAAATCCGAATAACTTGTCCAAGTGCGCGTGAAGTATAAGACGCGTACTGTCAAATCGATCATGCAATGCGTTCCAGGCAACTTCATAATTGGGACCAGTAAGAGGGACTGAACGTACCACAGTACTCGCAGCTCCAGAGACGGAAGCAATTAAATAGTGAAATCGCTCAACACTGTTAAGATCTGGATTTTCGTGGACAAGCGATGTGAATGTGTCACGATAAGACCGCCAATTAAGTATGTCACCATTAAAGTGCGGTAACTTAATTTTTGGTAAATTAATGTGAGAACCTGATCTGGTTACCGTATCCAATTTACAACAGGCCACTGCACCCGCCACGGCTTGTATAGAATAGTATTGTTCGGTGACAACAGTTTCAATGATACTATGTTCACTTATGAAGTCCTCAATCCGCCCTAGTTCTACCATTTGATCCATAACGTCATCCTGGTCGAGGCGAAAATCTGACATGAGTGCTTCCAAATCCCGTTTACGCGCATTAAACATAGGTAATGATGACGGATCAGACTCAACTGTCTTCGATAAGTTGAACAAGATTAACATCTGATTAACATGCTTATCTCGTTTAACAATAGCTCGCTGTAAGGATCTCTCAACACGTTCCTTTTCTTGTTGATCTGTTGGCGCCATCGCGAAATATTAATACCGTATAATAAAAACAACAACGTTAATATGACGTATTTAGATGGCCAACATGCACGCTACCATACAACAATATAATGAATAGACTTGAGACAGCTATGAGCAACAATAAGATGACTAAAATTCACTTGTTTTATCGAATGATTAAAAAAAAATTAAAGTGGACTGTATTTTCGATATCCGGCCCGAAGGACCAAATGTTGCGGCTGGTACGCCCGACAATTATTGCTCTAAGGAGATTACCAACAGCTTAGAATATCAAGGAGATGATTTAAGAAAAATAAAAGAATAAAGATATGAGTATAGTAATACGCAAATAATATTTGATAATAATAACACAAATGACGACTTAACCTATGTTAGTAGTATTAACTCAGGCGATCACAAAACGATGCACCATAATAATTACAGCATATATAAAATATTAATTTAACAATAATAATAATATTTATCAAAACAACAATACAATCACGGTACGACCTGATGCTGGTGATATGGCACCGCGGCGGAACAGCTGGTTTATATGACGACGGTGTGATATCACGTATATGTGTGTGTGTGTGTGTGTGATGTGATGCTCGAACGGCTGGCTCGCGCTGCGCTTTCGCGGACGGGCGATATTTATAAGACGCAAAGACACTTCATGCATTCGCACTGCGACGAGGGACGGGCGAGAATGCAATGACGAGCGAATTGCGGTCGTGATGCGAGAACTCGGACGACGGTTTCATGCGTACTACGTGCCTACTGACGTGTAGAGCATTTGCGTATAACATGTACGTACGTGCGAGCGAGATTTGGTAAAAAGTAAAAACACAAAAGCACACAGGGCGGCAACGGACGACACGCACTGGTCGTCGCGGCTACTTCACCGGTACTGGAGAAGCGTACGCGGAGTCACCGCCGCCGTGACCGGTCGGCCGACAGATAAGCTTATCGGGCCTTTGGTGGTGGACACGGCGTGCAGGTGCACAACGTTGATTGTGGCGTCAACAAATATACATTGATTACTTGTAGGTAATAGTAATCAATATAGAATTGCAAAATTTGTTGTGATTTGTATAAAATACTATTTAACATTTATTTTTAATGAACAATATAATAGTGATTTAATATAAAGTTGTTTTTGAACTTAATTTATTACATTTTATGTAATTAGGTACATTAATAAATATATATAATATTATACTTACAGAAATGTTTTACGTAGGCCACAAACAATTTGTTTTCACTTTCAGTAAAAGAAATGGAGATAAAGACAGTTAAAGTACATACACTGATACACTTAAAAAAGTAACGAACGGGCAAAAATATTTCCACCTTTGTCTCGAGTTCTGGACCAATTACGAACAAGTGCGAACTGCGGACTTTAAATAAAGACGTTGTCGCAGGAATGAACAGCGAAGATTCTATCGTAAACACCGCACCGCGGTCTTAACTTTTAACAGGCATATCTATTCTGATATGCGATTAGTTCTTGACAGTTGACAGATTCTGCGATTAGTTTCCATTAACCAGAGTCCAGATTAAACCTTAATGCGTCTTTGTCTGACGGCCAGCGGTCCGCGAACGTTCGAAAATTCTTATAACTACTAATTAGGTACCTAATAACTAATAAGTTATAAGTATAATACTTACTTCATAATAAATTATTGTACATTTTAATTTTTGCTAAATTATTAGTAAAATACTATAAAATATTAACTATATTGATTAAATTGTTATATAGTGCCAATTTCCTATATAAATGCCTGATATAATTGCGTATTATGGTAATAATAATACGATTATATAATAGCGTGTTTAATGTTTTTAGAAATTATAATACCTAATAATTGTATAGACGGATTCTTAGTCCTTACCAATTCGTTAATAATAATTATATTTTATTAGTACGTATTATAAATTATAATATGCCTATCTTTATATATAATTCTACAGCTAGTCTACTGTATTGTCCTGAACTCCTGAACTCCGATCGGTTGGACCTATTTGAATGATTTTTTATGTGTGCGTTTGGGTGACGCCCCGGATGGTTTAGATTCACAAATCATCCCCCTAGGTCCAACCAGGGGATGTGCTCAAACGGGGATTTAGAGATTTACGGTGGAAATTTTTGTTTATAAATGGTTGTCATGTGTTTTAACTTTTAAATCTATTATAATAATAATTATTGGTTGCCGTGAAATCAGCGTATTCATAATTAATGTAACTATATATATATAGTGTAACTATATTAAAAGTCTATGCACGCAACAAATGAAATGTTCGCACATTGTCCACGTTCCAACGCGTAGTCGGATTGCTTACCAGGGTGGCTGAGTTGCACTTGCACTCCAAAGGAGTGAACAATCACAATTATTTTTACGGGCAACGATAAGTGCGCAGGATCAGCTAGTATATATATATATATATATAATAATTAATCTTCTTCATTTTTAAAATGCATTGGAAATATATTTTGAATAATATTTTCATCAAATATAATAATAATATCATTAAGACATATATTTGGTGATAATCTTAAAATATTTTCTAGAAACGTTTTCAACTCTTTTTGAAAATATTTCAAAAATGATATTAAATAAAATATATCTTTAAAATGTTTTTAAATTATTTTCAAAGAAATGTTTTCCTTATGATGATTTAAATATATTTTTAAAATGCCATCATCATACAGAATGCTATGTGGGTTATAGGGAAAATAATTGATTGAAATTAAAAATATAAATTACGTCGTTAAAATATTACTCGGTACACCACTATCAGAGAGATAACCATGGGGGTATAACGGAATTGGAACTTGTTGCTGTTATGATAACAATATCCTGCGGGAAACGACTGTTTTTCGGTTTATAACAATGATAACGAGATTTCCGGTTCATAAAACGTGCCTGTTACATCACAAATATTAT